AGTTTGAAATAGATACCCCACACAGTTTTGTGATAAATGAGGAACAACATGGTGGCATGGAACAACATAGATGTGAGGACTCTCAAGTCTATCATGTATTAGTATTTACTATTTCATATGTGATATGGTTGTTTGCATTTCGTATATTTGTTTATTAGTTAGGTTTGCAGTTTGGTCTGTTGACTTAGGTATCCTGGCCTCATTGGTCAGAGCCTAACTGACTCTTCTCTCGTGTAATATATATATATATATATATATATATATATCTATATATATATATATATATATATATATATATATATATAGGAGGATTAGTTAGATAGAGAGAGTATCTTTTGAAATTTAGTTCTTTCGTCATTGTTTAGAACTATTCTTTTCTCTCTAATGAAATCATCGATCTTATTTAGCTTTTTGTGTTCATCAGATTTATCTTCCATGACGTTATTTGATTAGAATATATTCGTTCCAATTGTTCAACAAGTGGTATCAGAGTAGGATTTCTATGAGCTATTTTCAAATCCCCAATTTACTTGAAGTTATTCAATTTGTTACAATTTTTACTTTGAATCTTCAATTGATTCCTCATTTTGAAAATTTTGTTTGCATTCTTATCTTAGATTCTTGTGCAAATCTTTTATTTCAATATGAAATCTGTTTGTTGCTCGTATATATGATTTTAATCTAATTTTTATGCAAAATTTTCTGAAAAACCATGTCTAAAGACCATTCTCACTCGATTTCTTTCAATCTCAGTAGTAGCATTGGTTCTACTACTTGGATTCGGATTCTTTTTCCTGAAGATTATGAAGTTTGGGTTCTTCACTTTGAAGATTACATTCTTAGCTTTAAAAATCATGGATCTAGTATCTGGAACACAATCAAAAAAAGAACCTTGCAAATATTCAAAAACAAAGAAGGTCTTCAAAACCTAAGAGGAATTGGTTGACATTATTGTTGATGACAAAGACATTTAAACAAATGAAAAGGACCGATTGCATAACAATTGGAGAGCAAAAAGAGAATTATGTTTCGCTCTTCCACCAGACACATTCACACCGGTAAGTTCTCTTGAAACGCAAAGGAAATATGGGATAGACTAAAATAATTGTATTCTTGAGATGATGATCTCAAACATTCTATTTAAACTAATCTTCTTTCTAAGTTTGGTTCTTTTAAGCAAAAGTTTGATGAAACTCTGGATGAAGCAGTTAATCGATTCAATCATTTTCTTAGTAGAATGTTGGAATATGGTTTAAAAAGCTAAACAATTGATCAGAAAGTGACATTCATGAATGGTTTGAAATTCGAATGGAAATCCATTGTATCAACTGTTAAAGCTCATGAACAGTTTAAGAACGACGGTTTGGTTAAGATGGTTGAAATTCTAAGATCTCATGAAAATGAAGTGCTAGAAGATGCAAAATCTGTTCCTCTATTAGCATATGTTGTGAAATCTAATGGTTCAAAATTCAAGAAGTCCAAAGTTGTTGAGATGATTCAGACTCAGATGGTACTGATTAGGAATTTACAAGTGAAAAAGCTCTTATGGTCAGCAACCCGAAGAAAAGTTTCAAGAAAAAATTCTCTAAATTCAAGACTTACAACTCAAGCAAAGGTGATAATGGAGGAAGTAACTTCAAGAATGAAAAATCAAATTATGATAAAGTGAAAGGAGAAGGATACAAGTTGTATCAGAAGGAAGAAGAAAAGAAGGAGAACAAGCTAGTCGTAGGCTCAGGGTATGATTGCAATTATTTTCATGGAAATAATCATTTCACAAAAGAATTCATGTTGAGGAAACAACATGAGAAAAAGGAGAAAGAAAAGGATGAGGTGTACTACGTTTAAAAAATAGAAAATCTTCGCAAGAAGAAGCTGACAGAGAAAGCTTTGATTGTGGGTGAAGAAGATAGTGACGATGGACAAGTTGAAGTTTGGTCTACTGACTCCAAAGATGATAAAGTTCACATGCCAACATGTGGAGCATGTTACGTTGCAAAAGAAGCTAAGGATGAAAGCGTTGGAAAGTGTTTTGTTGTAAGTAGTGTGAGTTCAGAAAGCCAATATTATGTCACTGATGAGGGAGCCAATTATGAGGTGTCTTTTTCAATAAAGACAGTTTAGGAGCATTTCATAGAAAGCGAAAAGATAATCAACAAGGTACATTCTATCCTTCAATCATTAGATATTCATGTTTCTCGATATAATTATGAATAAACCGAACTAAGAGATATAAATTCTGATTTTAGTGAAAGCTTAAAAAGGAGTCATATTAGAGCTTCTAATCTTAATGATGATCTTACCATGACTTCTTTTAAGAATGAGGAAAGGAGATTGTGGATATAGCACTTGGAAGTTGAATTGTCTAGGTCTAGAGATGATGTTATTACGTAGCGAAAGGATAATAGAGTAGTCATGAAACAGTGAAATATATTCTGTCAGATAACACATCGTTTGTATAACAATTTAACACACCTCTATCTTAATTATGAAATCGCAAACGACATGCATAAAAAGATGCTTCCCTTATTAGAATTTAAGGAGGAAGAAATAGATGTCGAATGCTATAAGTGTGAATATATTGTGTCATCTGATGAGTCATTGAGTGATTCATACAAAGTTGGACTTGAAAAAATAAAAGAATTTTTGAAATCAAAAGAAAATAAATTGACTATGAAAGATGTGTTAACAGAAAACAAACAATAAATCAAAATGAAATCAATTGAGAAATATAATTCATTGTGCATGTGTCACACCCCCAAACCGAAACGGCGGAAACGTTCGGGGGTGGATGATGTCATGTGTAGTATCATAACAATTGCATCATAGTAATCAAAGTAAACACAACCATTACAATAGATAAGTAAAATATTTACATCTGTTTGATACATATTTGTATACATCCAAAAGTAGCAAAATATAAAGACGTAACTCAATACGCTCCGTCTTCTCAAAAGTTGCGGGAGTACCTGTCTACTGATTTCCTGAGAATACAAGCGGTTTTGAAAAGAGCAGATCAGCATTAAGTTGGTGAGTTCATAAGCGTTTTGATTTTGAAAACAGATTCTCAATTCTTTGACAAGTGTGTTATGTTTCTCCAGAAAAACCTTACATTTTCTGATATAATGAATGTTAAGATAAGTATGATATTACCAGTTCCTTCTATAATCTCTTATCTCATACTAGCTACGTGTAAACCAATATCTAACAGACAGTTAATTGTATGGATCTGCCCTAAGCCCACAACCAAACAAGGAACAGGAAATGGGGCGGAAACCACACATTCCGCAGTCTGTCGGATATTCTTCATACATAACACCGATGTATAAACTAAGGGATTATAAAATTAACAATGAATATTCGATGGTTGAATGATAATCCGATTGTTTGTAAAGTACGGATGTTTGCCCTGGAAAATCCTATATTTTCCCTTGAGTGTGAGTTGTTGCCTTAATTGTTACAAAACTGGAAAGTACAAGTATTTTCCATACTTATGTTATTAAAGCATTGTTCATCAAAAGTATATTACTACGTAAATATATCGTTGTTATCTACTTGCAAAGTTTTATGACCATACTAACTGATACGACGTGAATCGGACGCCAATATCCTTTACGACTTTGTCACCCGTAGACCTGCCGGTCCTACTGTAGCTAACAACAAGGTGCGGGATTGTCAGTCCCATATAGATCTATACACAAACGCATGCTCTCCCTCGAGGAGACTCTGGTTCATAAGGGTAGCCTTCCACTAGTACATATGTAAGTACCCAAAGATGTTTCTATCAAACTAGATTAACGACTTTACAAGTAATAATACGAAAACCTTTTTTTATAAATAACGACTTTACAAGTAATAATACGAAAACCCTTTTTTTATAAACTCTGTTTCATAAGGGTTGGCTTGTATTCCCCCTGAAAACGTTAAAATAGTAAAAGCATAGGGGTATGAACTCACTGTTAGTTGCGTGAAAGTGTCGGACAACAAAACTGGGAATGAAGACCCTCGGGTTGATGTACGCACACTTAGCAGGATCCTAATAATAATTAAATACATATATGCATTTTATTAGTGAAACCATTAATTATAGTGCTGGAAAAACACTTGCTTTTGGTTTAGGAATATTACCGGGACTCGATTGAATCGAAAAAAGTGGGTTTTCAGCCAAGTTCACGACTTGGGAAGGTTTGCGGTCGTGAAGGGTTTCCAGCCGTGAACTGTTCTCGACCGTGAACAGTTTACTGCCTTTGTAGAGTTTACGGTCTTTGAAGGTTTAAAGGGTTCATGGCCTGTTCTTGGTGAAATATGAAGATTTGAAGGGTTCTCAGCCGTGAACTCAAGAACAGCAATGCTTGATTTGATGAAAAACGGATGTTTTGATGCTTCAAAACGAGTTCCCACTACTAGAAAAACAACATTTTATGACGCGCAATGCGTGTTGTAAAACGCTCAGACGACGCGCGTCGTCTATTTAGGACATGCATTTATGACATGCATTTACGACGCGCAGTTATGAAACACAATGTGTATCAAGGAAGGCCCTCTCATTAAGGAAGACGACACTCATTTGCATGTCGTAACCTTACGACGCGCGTATTTATGACACGCAATGCGTATCAAGGAAGCCCCTGTCAGAAATGAAGATGAGACGCATTTGCGTGTCATAAACTTCAGTAACCATTTACGATATGCATTTACGACACGTCTTTACGATACTCATTTACGCATAATACAAAAATATGTAAACAAATATATACCAAAAAATCAATTTCATCCAATAACATCATGTCAAAAAATTGTAATACATTGATATTAAGGGGATCTAATTGTACATTGTTATTAAGAGGTTTTCCTAACTATATAACCTAATACTACACTGCTATTAAGGGACACCTTCTGCAATGTAATGCTATACAAACTAAAAAGATATACACAAAGATGATAAACATCAAATTCACAACTAAGTAGAGTTGCATCTTGCCTTTCATAATTCTTTAAGACTAATGAACCACTGCTCCGATAATTCTTAGGACCTGATCAAATAAAAGTCAAAAAATTAATATGCTAATATAGTTATTAGAAGAATCAAACATGGAATGTTCATTGCAGATAATACTTCAGGCTAATAGACATTCCTTGATCCTATGAACTAGAGAGTATAGCATCACAATTCCATCTAACACCACCCATGAGAACTCGTAAAGCTACTCAACCAACATATCATGTCATGTAATGTATTTTTTGTCAGTATATTTTCACAAAGAAAAAAAAGTGAAATAAATAAAAATAGTAAGTACCAATAATGATGTATTATTTCCAGTGAGATGGAGCTTGTAGACTATCCCGTATTGAAATATGAAGAACCTCAAGCACAAAATAGTTTCAAGTACACGCTCTCTGATTGTCTGGATATGTTCTTGTTCACATCACATCCCAATCATCAAAATCTTATAAGATAGATTCATGAATTTGGAAAAATAAATTAAAATAACTGGAAGCATACTTGTGTCATTCGAAGTCCCAGAGTCGGACAATTGTGTCACCTGAACCACTAGCTAACTGTTGTCCATCAGGAAGTAGAAATACAATTTCCAAGGGGTAGAATCGTCCAAGTTGCTTCTTAAGTTTCTTTTGTTCCCATGCCTCCCATGAATTCCCAAATTTTCAAGAAACAACCGTTTTAAATTCTGAATGAATGCATCAACTTACTCAATTCTTCCAACTTATTTCCTCCAATTTTTTCATTGCTAACTCGACCCCACTTCTGGAACACATAGCAGCCTGACCCTTTATCTTCTTCATATATCTGGAGGATATAATAACTTCACGTAGAAAACACGTATAAGAACACGAGTGAAAAGGATGATTTATACATAAATAATACATGTTTTTTGATAAGAATCACCTGTTGATGCCAGTTGATAAGTCAGACAAGCTCAAAGTTGTGTTATAAATGCTTTTTCCATGCTCCAGAATCTTGCAAACCAGATGCTTCATGGACTGCACTTCGTTCTTTGACTTTTTTCAGTCACCATGCTTTTTGACTCTTCAGTGGCTTCAATTTTATACAGATCAAAATGAAGTTTCTTCTGTTTAGAAAAGCAGTCAACCAGTTTCTTTAGTGGCAACACAGATTCAAGAATAAACTGACAAAACTACCCTTTTTCTTCTCATAACCTTTTGATGACAAAAAACTACATATGAAGGGTATAATTGTAATTTTAATGACAAAGCTATGTGCTGTGAAACAAAGTACTACATTGCTTTCTTTATCTCAGCATTCAGATTATTCGGTACTCCACTTACCACCAAGCATCTTGTGAATTGTGCACAATTTGACACTCCATTTCATAAATAAAAGAAGGTGTTATGTCTTATCTGTGTAAGATAAACTTACTTGATCGGTGTTGTAGACGATGTACTCATTATACATCAACTCGTATGTCTTAACATTTGATGATACCGACTTTCCACATGGCACAACAACATCATCCTTCCACTTAAAGTGTTCGGACTCATTAGGGATCTTCTTCCCAAGTCCTTTAGTCGGGTCCTTCCCTTTTGGTGGTTTTTCCATATACTACAAATATAAAAAGGACAAATAAATAAGTTAATTACTAAAACACAACATTTATTTCACATATAAGTATAACTTACCTTGGCCTTCTTAAGCTCATACATCTCTCCCAAAGCAACTTCACTTAATAGCATTAAGCCCACCGGATTTTTCTTGTCAGTAAAACAATATTGAGCACTTTTGCTCACCAAAGGTGGAACACCCATGCTTAATTTGACCTTTCAGATCTGAAACAAAAAAAAACTTGGAACTTATCAAACAAAAAAGATATAAATCACACAAAGACTTATTCAATTCTTCCAACATAGTTTGTCAAACAAGAACCTATTAAGAACAATAGATTTCATTAACATCCATGAAAAAGACATTAATGACCTTCTTATCTTGCATGATAGATGAAACTTAAAAGAAAAGGTTTGAAGCCATTATACCATGCCAAAGGAGCATCTTGTTCTTGAATTTATTTTTATATGCAACAAACTTATCAAACTCTCCTTGTATTTCAACTGTGAAAACTTCTTCCAGTTCAAGTGCCCAATCCTACAATTTACAAAGTACAAACAAGGCCAGCCTTTCAGCATAATGTCAAAAGACCAAAAAGCCCAAGAAACTGCAAGTCAAAAAAAGCCACACTGTATGTGTAGGGGCATGTGTAGTTTGGAGATACTTCTCAACTAGCTGATAATCTTCACTAGCATCTGGTTCTGTGCCGTCTCTTTTGTGAAATCATTAATTACACATCCAGACTGTTGGATACAAATAAATAGTCATAATGTATTTATTTTATTAGGTACCATCTGGTTCTGTGCTGTCTCTTTTGTGAAATGGTAAACATGGATCAACCGGTCTGTGGGCCCCAGATCTTTCTCTTATTCTGGAATCTGACACAAGTAACAACAAACATTTATATTCTTGTTTACATATATAACAAACCATATTCCATTATACAAATCAACTTACTTCCTCTGCACACAATGTCCGGTATTGATCATTTATATTCTCAATTATCTCTGTTATTGGAAAGATCTGAAAGGATAAATATAAGAAAACTTCAAAAACACAATTCCCACATTCACATTCACATTTCCCCTCCCTCCCCCAAGGCATTAGAATACTTCAAGCAATCTCTAATAATGTACAACACAATGGTGGAATGGGATATAAATAATAGTAAAAGAAAACATAGTGACAGTGGGATAAACTGCAATAAATACCTTGTAAATCTTATGATAGAATACTTCAAGCAGTCTCAGTTCAGCATTTGGATGTGACAGTTCCACCTGTTTGTTTCAATTTCCAAAATCAAAATGCAAATTAAAAGAACGTAATTTAATTGCACTAGAATATGTATGTCAATTACACAAGGACAAGGAAGGGTTTTCCTTTTCTGAAAAAGTTGCTACTTTCCCTCACTGACTGACTCCTTCATACATGTTGGTGAAAGATATACTTTATGTAAAATTACTATTTTGGAGTAAATCCTTATCCAAATTAAATCCCAAGGCATAAGGTGATGTAATGGTAACCAAGGCATGGAGATTATAGAATTTAGGAATATACCTTACTGAAGTACCCGGCCAACAAGGGACTATGTGGACGTTGTAATGATGCCAATAGCGTACGTCAATAAGATAGCAAATTAATACCATAGTGAGATCCATACAGCATTAGAACAAAAACTTACCATCATATGACTTAAATTTAAACACTTCTACTCCGATAATTGAATTAATATTCCCACTGTGAAAGGGAGTATGGATTAAGAAAGGAAAAAATTACCTCCCAGACAAAAGGGTCGACATCGCAAGAAGAACCAATCCCTTGGAATTACCATCATGTTGATGGGATTCACAATGTTCTAGCACCAACAAACCTTGCCCATATGATTCATCTACACATACTCATACATAAAAATGTGGATAGTAAACTGATAAAAAGGGGTATTGACGGGATTATTCAAAACGCACAACAAAGGGGGAAACTGACCTGATTCAAACATACAGATTCAAAAATAAATGAGTGTCGATCGATTACCCTTTGGTTACCCTAGTCGATCGATTCAAGCTTTCACGAAAAACCTTAGGTCGCGACCGATAGAGACAAGAAGGATTGGGCGAAGGTAGGATTGGATCCGATTTCAAAGAGTAACAGTAGATTTCACTGAAAACCCTTTCCTGGTTCGCTTGACCTTTGGTTACCTCAATCGATCAATTCAAGATTTCAATAAAAACCCTAGGTAGCGACCGATAGAGACAACAGGGAAAGGAAGGAGCGTCGATAGTTAGGGCAAGAGGGAAGAAGTAGGCGGCAGGGAAAGAAGAAAAAGATGGCGGGGTGTTTAATTTTTTAGGATTTCATTTTCCCCCTGATATTAAAGGATGAAACGTGCGTTCCATTAAAATTTATAAAGCGACATCATTAGACGACACACATTTTGTTATAGGTGCCCTCCGTGTTTATTATTTTTTTTGTTTAGACACTAATTTAAGGACATGCAATAATGCGTGACCTAAATCCCTAAATTTTTTGAAGAGACGACACCTTTTTAATGTCACTCTCTTTTGCGTAACATAAATCAATGAGTGTCGTGGTTTGCGCGTCGTAAAAGGGTCTTTTTCTTGTAGTGTCCAAGGCGGATAAAGTGATAGATGAAGAGAAATCTTGTGTTTTCGGGTGATGATTTTTAGAGAGAGAAAGGGTGTTCGCGGACAGAATAGTATAAATGAGGGTAGGTGTCACGTATATATAGGTTGGGTGTATGGTCAGTGGTGGGGTCCACCAACCGTAAATGGGTTTACGGCCGTGATCGGGTTCACGGCCGTGAACACCACTCAGGCCGGAATCTCCTAATTTTCGAAGGAAACTTGGGTTTTCGCGTGATTTTGGTTCCGAGTCTTAAAAAAACGATCTTCTAAACGATAAGAATTTAATGGAACAAATAAAAATTCGAAATTTATTTAACAGAAAATGGCTAACTTTAACGAAAAAAGGTTCGGGTTGTCACATCATCCCCCCGATAGAGGGAATTTCGTCCCGAAATTCAAACATAGAATACAATCATGGACTCGGAAAAAGATGCGGGTACTTCTGTTTCATCTGATCTTCTCGCTCCCAAGTGAATTCAGGTACCCGCCTGGCATTCCAGCGGACCTTCACTATTGGTATGCGACTTTGTTTCGTTCGTTTGACTTCCCGATCCATGATTTCGATTGGTTCTTCCACAAAATTTAGATTCTCGGTGATCTCGATATCATCAAGAGGGATCACAAGGGTTTCGTCAGATAGGCACTTTTTAAGGTTCGACACGTGGAAGACAGGATAAATATTGCTAAGTTCTTGGGGTAAACGAAGTTTGTATGCCACGGGACCGATCCTAGCGAGGATCTCGAATGGTCCTATGTATCTCGGATTCAGCTTTCCATGCTTTCCAAAGCGTATCATGCCTTTCCAGGGTGAGACATTCAATACAACACGGTCACCAACCTGGAACTCCAAAGGTTTTTGTCTCTTATCGGCGTAGCTCTTTTGTCAATCTCTTGAAGCTTTTAGTCATTCTCGGATTCGTACGATCTTTTCTGTGGTTTCTCGGATGATTTCTGGGCCAGTGAGAGAGCTATCTGGAACTTGACCTCTAGCCAACTGTGTGTCACCCACCTCATCCCAGCACAGAGGGGATCTGCACTTACGACCATAGAGGGCTTCAAACAGCGCAGCCTTGATGCTAGTGTGATAGTTGTTGTTGTAAGAGAACTCAACTAATGACAAATGGGTATCCCATGACTTACCAAAGTCAATAATGCACGTTCTCAGCATGTCTTCTAGGGTTTGAATGGTTCACTCACTCTGTCCGTCTGTCTGTGGATGGTAAGATGTGCTCATATCCAGCTTGGTTCCAAGAGCCTTCTACAGTGATTGCCAAAATCTCGAGGTGAATCTGTATCCCGATCGGAGATAATGGACACGGGCACACCATGCAGATGGACTATCTCTTGGATGTAGATTCGCGTTAGTATCTCCATCTTGAACGTTTCTTTGATTGGCAGGAAGTGGGCGGATTTTGTAAATCTGTCGACGATTACCCAAATAGTGTCATGGCCACTCGAAGTCTTGGGTAATTTGGTGATGAAATCCATTGTGATCCGTTCCCACTTCCACTCAGGTATTTCTGGATTCTGAAGTAGACATGAGGGCTTTTGCTATTCCACCTTCACCTTGGCGCAAGTCAGACACTTGCCCACGAAGGTAGCGATCTCTGCTTTCATTTTTGGCCACCAATAGAGCTTTTTGAGATCTAGAAACATCTTATCCGAACCTGGGTGAACAGAGTATCAAGTCCGATGAGTTGCGTTCATGACAACCTCCCTGTAACCACCGAACTTTGGGGTCCAGATCCGGGTCATGAAATAATAAACTCCGTCTCCATTGATCTCTAAGTTCTTTTCCATTCCCCTCAAGGCTTCATCCGACACATTCTCTTGTTTTAAGGCTTCCAGCTGAGCCTCTCTGATTTGTGCGGACAGATGGGAATGGATGGTCATTGTCAGTGCCTTCACTCTACGACCTGAATACTATTTCCGGTAGAGGGCATATGCTACCACATTGGCCTTGACGAGATGATAGCATATTTCACACTCATAATCACTGAGTAGCTCTACCCACCACCGTTGTCTCATGTTCAAGTCTTTCTGATCGAAATTGTGATGTAGACTCTTATGGTCGGTGAAGACAGTGCACTTGGTTCCGTAGAGATAATGTCTCCAAATCTTTAACGCGGAGACCACTGCTCCCAAATCTAGGTCGTTAGTTGTATATTTGACTTCGTGTGCTTTCAGCTGTCTCGAGGCATAAGCAATGAATTTTCCTTTCTGCATGAGCACACAGCCTAGCCCCTGATTGGATGCATCGCAGTAGACAACGAAGTCCTCCGTCCCTTCTGGAAGAGACAAGATAGATGTGCTGCACAGGGCTTGCTTCAATGTTTGGAACGCAGTGTCTTGAATTTCTCTCCAACTAAAGGTTACATCTTTCTGATTCAGGGTGGTTAGAGGCTTAGCAATCCTGGAGAAATTCTGGATAAACCTGCGATAGTAACCAGCGAGACCCAAGAATTGACGGATTTCTGTGGGCGTCTGCG